CTGACAGGCCAGCATCTGGAGTCCTTTACAAACTTTCTTTTTCTTTTTCAGGTCCAGGGACGGAGCAGCATTGCAGTTGAGTTCTGCGTTTCCTGGAAGATTCCTTCCTAATCAGCCTGCTCTTCCACTCCACTGGAAAATTCCAGCCTCTGCGTCCTTACTCGGACAATCACTTCTAACAATGGAAGCAGCACTGTTTTGAAAAGCCCACCCATCACGCTCAGGCAAAGAAGTGGATAGGGCTATGCCTAGCTTATGGGGTCTGCTCAACAGTGAAGCTACCCAAGGGAGGGGTAGGAGGTATGGGGTTGGGCAACTCCTTTCCAGTTTCAGAGTCTTTCATTCTTTGCGACCATATTGCATACCACCTGAATCACATTCATTTTGCCTTGAGCATTTTTTGAGCATTATTATCATGCCCCTTGAGACCACATGAAGAGGGTCCCAAATCAATAGGAAGTAGACACTATAGCTCTTGAAATGACCATGAGTCTCAACAATGAACACTGGATACTAAGAGACGTGCTTGGCTGGTTTGTGTACTTGTCCTTATTCCTCCAAACCCACTGTCTATGGCCAGGCTTAGCCAAAGGAAGTATGAAGAGAGGCTGAACAGTGCTGACATTTGAATTGTCATGGAGACGGGGTCAGCCCAAATCCTCCTCTATTTGGCTATCACTTTAAAATAATTCATACTGAAACCCCTAGCTGCTGAATATGGCTTCTTTTCTATTTCTGATAGATCTTTCCATTCTAGGGGAGCTGGCATGGGAGGATGGCTGTGGCATGGCCTTTATGTTACAGACTCTTGGCCCCATGAGGATCACCGAAGAGGCCAATAAGGAAGTTCTGATCTGAGGTCATTTCAGACCCATGTTCTCCAGGGAAGGCAGTTCTGCTGTCTTCTTAGTAACACAACCAATGTCTAGAACATAATTTCAATTTACCTGTATCATCATGGCCTTAGAGAAAAAGGGGCCCCTCCTTCCTATATCTCAGTGGAACAGGGTGAATAACACAATCACTATGGGTCAGTGCAGTACAATGACCTCCATTGTGGTTTGACCACATGGTTTGAGCATTATGGTTGGAGACCTCCAGTAGGAGAAGTGAAGCTCAAGAGCTTTGGTGGCATGGAGAGCAAGGCTTGGTGGAAACAGGACTTCATGGCACACAGCCACACGTGGCCAGGCCAGCCCAGTCCACCTCTGACCAGGCTCTTGTATGTTCCCAAGAAGGCTGCTAGCTTCAGGTTAAGAGCAAGGTACAAAACTCTCTTGGGTTTATCACCTGAGTCTGGACTTAAGCCTAGCAGGAGACATTTGGAATAAAAGATGCATTTTTCCTTCCCCAGTTCTTGGATATATTGCTTTATGATTCTGTGAATGGGAGGGTGGGGAGGATATTATGGTAAAAAACAAGCTTCCCATCTTTCATCGGGTTCTTTTAAATAACCACAGTATTAGCTGACCATTTTTCAGATCAATGACTGACCATTTACCATGTGTCAGTTGGACCAAGAGCATGTATCAAGGAAGAAAACTCCTAGTACACATTTTATTCTCTCAGATAAAACACCTAGAAACTTCTGAAGCCACCAGAATTGTCTAAGACCACATGCAAACTTCTATTCACATTTCTGGCTTGTTGGGGCGATTCTAAGCAGGCAAATGGATGCTTTCGAAGAGTGGAGGCTCAAAATCTTTTTTGCCTTCCAGATGATATTTCTACCTTTTCAACCCAGACCAAGGGGCCCTATCTCTGAGCCCTGGGAGGTGGGGGTGGGTGGGAGTGAGGAGGATCTGACCAGGCTTACAGGTAGCCCCTGTTCTCCTGAGTAACTGGAAAGACAAGCTCAAACGTGAGAGCAAAAGGTGGAGAAACCAATGAGCTTCTTTGAGGGCAGTTTCCACTGCCAACAGGAAATGGATACAGGGACTCAGGTTGTAATCGGCAGAACCAGAGTGTTCTTGAAGAACATGTCCCTTATTTTTGTGTGTCTTGGCAATCTCAGGTGGAATGCAAGGGTTTCCATGGCAACACCCCCCCCAGATTGATCACATGGGAACCACGCAGTCTGGAAGCCACTGCTAATGGTTCTGATGCTGGGTCCCTGTATGGGGGCTCTGTCTGCAGCTGGAGTCAGGGGACAGAACTTCTTTGGGAGGAGGGTCAAGGGATCAGGGTGTGTTTCCTCTCTGGCCATCAGTGTGGTGGTCTGGGGACACCTGTTCTTCCAGCAGGAATGAGCCAAGCTGGGTATGCCAATACACTCAGCTGCCGCCCTGTGGCTGGCAGCAAAGGCCACTGGTGGATAAGTCTATCAGCTGGAGGATGGAGTGAAGGCTGGTTGTCATTCCTCCCTCTCATTTCCTACAGAGGGCGCCATCACCCGGGGCCATGTGGGGTGTAGGGACATTCCTGCAGAGGGCACGGCCAGCTGGGGTGTGGAGACAGGACTTCCTGTGATAAGGATGCTGACTAGCATGGGGCCCTCACAGCATTTGTGTCGACAGGACTGGGAGTCAGCTGTGGGTCCAGGATCCCTGGGAAATCAGCATCTTAAGCTGCCAGACAAAGCAGCCAACACCTGTAATAGACCACAAGGGTGCAAGTCACGTGACAAACACTTAGCTCCCCGTGTCTACGGAATGCCACCAGCCCAGGCTGTCCTCACACACTGCGTCACCTGAGGGCCGCGTGTGAGGTCAGCATGGTGGGAGGTTAACTTCCAGGCCATCAAAAAGAATCCTGTGTCTTCCTTCTTGCCCTATGCCCCTAGCAAGACTACAGGCGTGTGGTCTGTCACTCTTCTCCGGGGCAGGATGGGCTCGCTTGCAGGACACTGGGAGGGGGCAAGGGGAAGGGAAGGATGCTTTGTCGGGAACTTTTATCCCTCACGTCTGCCCAGTGGCTAATATCTCTTCCAGTGAAATCTAACCCTCACACCCTCTGGGTCCTCGTCTCCAGTGGGAACAGCAGCACTTGCAAAAGAGTTGACTTAGGAGAAGGCCTTTTAATCTGCCCTGGAGTCCAGCCTCACCGTCGGCATAGCAACCCCTTTTCGTGGCAGGGATCCTTGCAGCGTCCCTGGGTATCCAGGGTAGGGTCCTGCACCCCTGTACCAAGAGGCCATGGTCTGTGGCTCAGGGGACAGCTAAAGATAGAGAAGCAGGTCCCTTCAAAGTTTGTGCCTCTCACCAAAGTCCAGTCCAGGGGAACCAAACCACCATGGACAGAGACAAATGAGAAAATGGTCGGGTGGATTAGTATTCTGCATTTGGACCTGTTCTAGTCTGAGATTCCGATCCTGAGGGAAGTGTGGTGGGTCAGCCGGGGGAGAGACAGGAGAGGCCGGCATGGCATCTGCACGGGTAAGGAGCAGGGGTCTGAGAAAGGCAGCTGCTGCTGTCCTTGGCCAGGATGTCAGATGTCGAGGGACTCCGGGCAGTTTCACATAGGGTCCCCCCGCCCCGCCCTTGCGAGCTCACGCCTTCTCCTCCTCCCTTCATACTATGGCTCGAACCCTAGTTTTACTTGTGCTCATCAAGAATGTTTGGGCTCCCCTACAGCGGGAAAGCTCCTCCAGTTGCCTCCAGGTGGACTAGCCTGAGGGATTGCTTGCAGCGGGGAAGAGGAAGAAGACCCTAGAAGTCTAAGAAGGCAGTAGGGAGAAAGCAGGGTGCGGGGTGGGCTTGAGGAAGGGGCCAGGAACACAAACCGCACCAAAACACCTACTTACTTGCATGGAGAGAGGGAAGATTCCTGCACCTCAATCCTGGGAGACAGGGGAAAGTCTGCAGCTTTAGGACACAATCAAAAGCAACAGGGCAAGACAATTCCCTTACAGAAACAAAGACCTGAGCTTGAGGGGGCACAAAGGGAGAGATTACATCCAGAGATTCCGAGCTGATCACACCATGGCTGCGCAGGCTTGTATGAAGAGCGGTGGCTGATGTGGCGTCTGGGAAGAGCTGGGAAGTCACAGTAGCAGATGGTGTTGAGAACGGACCAGGGGATTGAGTTCCCTTCCCCAACGGAAGTGTCCTGCAGATACTGTTGAATTACCTACTGTGTTGGCTACGCCCTTTTAAACCCTTTTTTCCCCCTTCTGAAAATGAGTCAGTTGCAGAATCCGAATGTCAGAAGACGTTGTAAGTATAGTAGCTGAGCTTGCCATCTTTCCGCTTTGGCTTGTAGTTCTCTTTTCAGCTGGGGAAGACTAACAAAAGCAAACTCGACTATGAGAAAGGCATGAGCTGCAGGAGGACCCAGCTTAGTGGCTGGCTGGCAGGGAGATGTGTTCACGCTCGGTTCCCTGGGCTGCAAACACCTCCTCACCACCAGCCTCACCCCCTCGCTCCCCCCACCTCCCTCACCCTTCCTTAAAGAAGTAGGGGTGAGGGTAGGAGGCCAAGCTTATGTCAGAGTAGATGATTAGAGAGGGATAATATCACACACGAAGGAGCCGAAGGCCGCGCCCAGGCCTCTCGGGTCGCTAAGGGCAGCACAGGCGGCAAAGCTGGGAGGAAGGCTCTCTGCAGATTCCAAAATGCTGGTGCGAGATGGGCTCTGGGAACAGAAAGCCAAGTGCCAACGGAAACCGAGAGCTCCCCCACTCCGCCGGCAAGGGTCCTGTAGAAAAGGCAGTAAAAATGGAAGCAACTGGGGGCGCAGCTGCAAACCGCCCGGTGCTGCACCCCACTCAATGGCTTTCCCCTCGCGCCTTGCAGGGGTTCCACTAGGTGGGTGAAGGAAGCCAGGGCGACCTGGAAGGCCCCACCTTCTGGAGGGGCCCCGAAGTCGGCCTCGTGGGGTAGAGGTTGACCTCAGGGGGGACCTTCTGTTCACCCCTGGGCTCAGAGAATGGGACGCGGAGATGACATGTTCACACCCCTCCTCTTGCTCTCTTCCACCACCGACCCGGATTGCCATTGGAATTCCGAGATGAAAATGGAGTTCCTCTTCCAAGTCACTACCAGTGGTTGAAGCAATAATGCGGAACTCCTGGGTATTTATTGCATTAGGAAACAAAACCATTAAAGCATTGAAGACAGCCCTTTTGTGTCCCTGCCAAGGAGATGAAGTTGATTTGCAAGACCAGTCACACTGCAACCTGGGGTTCTGTCCAGAAATGGCCCTTCATCACCGTCTGCATCGTCCACGTCTGCTTTTGTGGAGGAACAAAGTTTGGCCGCAGGCCATGCACATGCGCGGTGAGCTGGGAACACAGTGTGGCGGAAGGCTGCTACTCCATGCCGCTCCGAAGGATCTGATTGGCCGCAATCAGCATGACGCTTATGATGAAGGCCATGGCGAAGGCGCATATGAGGCTCTTCCGGACGCAGGTCTGCCGGTTCTGCTTCTGGGAATGCACTGGGGAGGTGGGAGGGAGAAGGGGTAGGAAGGGCAGGAGACACAAGAGAGAAATGACACATGAGACAGTATGTTGTTGTTGCTGCTGCGGAGTTTGCCCCCGACTCATGGAATCCCCATGCACAATGGAACTAAATACTGCCCAGCCCTGCGCCATCCCCAATCAGTTGCGGATGAGACCAGTTTTCATTTGCTGATTTTTCAGAAGTAGATTCCCAGGCCTTTCTTCCTAGTCTGTCTTAGTCTGGAAGCTGTGCGGAAACCTGTTCAGCATCACAGCAACATGCAAGCCTCCACGGACAGACGGGTGGTGACTGCACAGGAGGTGCACTGGCCGGGAATCAAACCTGGGTCTCCTGCATGGAAGTGAAGAATTCTACCACTGAACCACCGCTGAACCCCTGAGACTGCATGGGCGTCTTCCTAAATAAGCCCAGAGAGACGCGGATGAAGACTGGTCAATTTACATGCTCTTATTGGACCGCTGGCAACAGGTATGAGATGGTCAAACTTCTATTAAAAAACCATGACTGACTTAGTGATGTGCTTCCAGATATAACAGAGTGAATTTCTGAACAAGAAGATAGGGAACATCTCAGAGCGAGTTTCATAAAAGGCATCATCCAGTCATTACCATGTCCACGTCTGCAGAATGTCTGGCTCTCATCTCTGAGGCAGTCAATATGGACACATTTGTGCCAGGCTGGAGTGACTTATCTTTCCTGGAATTTTCTGGAAGTGAACCTGAGCTCTACTGTTCTGTTGGGTGGCTGCTAGTGGAAATGACTCTAAGCAACTTCTGGCATCTTTCCAGATATGCACACCAGAGTGGGGTCCCTGGGCCACAGCATCTGCCTTACCCAGGAGTCTATTAGAAATGCAGACGCTCTGGCCTAGCCCTGCCTTAGATCTACAAATTACAGTTTCTGGTAGAGGGGCTAGGGATCTGTGTTTAACAAGCCTTCCATGGCATCCTGGTGGCTGTTGAAGTTTGAGAAGTGGGTACCACTTGCTCTTTTGGACAGGACCCATTTGCCCAGTGTGAAGACAGTGAGGCACAAAACCCCCTCAGACTTGCTGGAGGCAGCTGTCCCTCCCTGCCACCAGATCCTGTGGTCCCCAGAGGTCTGACCTTGGTCCTGGAGTTGCATTCTCCTAATCTTTTTTGTTGGGCCGTTGGCTTATAAGGCCTATAAGAAACCATTCCTTGGGCCTCATGCAAAACCAAACCAAACCCACTGCTGTTGAGTTGATTCCAACTCATAGCAATCCTACAGGACAGAGTAGAACTGCCTTATAGGGTTTCCAAGGCCGTAAATCTTTATGGAAGCAGATTGCCACATCTTTCTCCCTCGGAGTGGCTGGTGGGTTTGAACTGCTGACCTTTTTGGTTAGCAGCCAAGTGCTTTAACCACTGCACCACCAGGGCTCCTGGGTCTCGATCAGTAGGCATTAATTCAACCAGCTGCCTTTGAGTCAACTCTGACTCATGATGACCCCATGTGTGTCAGAGTAGAACTATGCTCCATACGGTTTTCAATGGCTGATTTTGGGGGAGGTAGAGCACACTAACCACTAAGGCCAAAGATGAAGAAATTGAAGATTTTTACCAACTTCTGCTGTCTAAATTGATCAAAATGTAATCAAGATGCATTGATAATTACTGGTGATTGGATTGCGGAAGTTGGAAATAAAGAAGGATCAGTAGTTGGAAAATATGGTGTTGGTGACAGAAATGATGCTGGAGATTACATGATAGAATTTTGCAAGACCAATGACTTCTTCATTGCAAATACCTTTTTTCAACAACAAAAACATCCTCGCCGGACAGAATACACAGGAATCAAATCAACTACATCTGTGGAAAGAGATGATGGAGAAGCTCAGTATCATCAGTCAGAACAAGGCCAGGGGCTGACTGTGGAACAGAACATGGATTGCTCATATGCAAGTTCAAGTTGAAGCTGAAGAAAATTTGAACAAGTCCATCAGAGCCAGAGTATGACCTCGAGTATATCCCACCTGAATTTAGAGACCATCTCAAGAATAGAATTGACTCATTAAACACTAATGACTGAAGACCAGACCAGTTGTTGAATGACATCAAGGACATCATACATGAAGAAAGCAAGAGGTCACTAAAAAGACAGGAAAGAAAGAAAAGACCAAAATGGATGTCAAGAGAGACTCTGAAAGTTGCTCTTGAACATAGACTAGCTAAAGCGGACAAAGGAAATGATGAAGTAAAAGAGCTGAACAGAAGATTTCAAGGGGCAGCTCAAGAAGACAAAGTAAAGTGTTATAAAGAAATATGCAAAGACCTAGAGCTAGAAAACCAAAAGGGAAGAACATACTCTGCATTTCTCAAGCTGAAATATCTGAAGAAAAAATTCAAGCCTCGAGTTGCAATATTGAAGGATTCTACAGGGAAAATATTAAACAAAAATATTAAAAGAAGCATCAGAGAAGATGAAGGAATACACAGAGTCACCATATCAAAAAGAATTACTCGATGTTCATCCATTTCAGGAGGTAGCATATGATCAAGGACCGATGGTATCGAAGGAAGAAGTCCAAGCTGCACTGAAGGCATTGGCGAAAAATAAGCCTCCAGGAATTGACAGAATACCAGTTGAGATATTTCAACAAATGGATGCATTGCTGGTGGTGCACACTTGTCTATGCCAAGAAATTCGGAAGACAGCTACCTGGCCAACCGACTGGAAGAGATCCATATTTATGCCCATTCCAAAGAAAGTAATCCAACAAAATGCAGAAATTATACAACAATATCATTAATATCTCACAGAAGTAAAATTTTGCTGAAGATCATTCAAAAATGGTTTCAGCAGTACCTCAACAGGGAACTGTCAAAAGTTCAGACTGGATTCAGAAGAGGACGTGGAACAAG